TGCCAATATTTTAACACAAGTGCAAACCATTAAGAAGTTCACATACTTTGACCTAAAAATACTTTTGCTTAGAAATATCTGAAGAACATGCCTATATCTTTTGGTTGAGTATGGATGCTCATTATAGTTTTATTTTAAACCACAAATTAAACATATTACATGCATGGGAAACTATATTAATTTTTATTGACCTGAGAAAATGGTCACAATATACTGTTCAATGGAGGGAGAAAAGCAGCTTGCAAAATGTTGTGTTGTTAGGTGATGTCGAGTTGGTTCTGACTCATAGTGACCCTGTATAGGGTTTCCAAGGAGCAGCTGGTGAGCTTGAACTGCTGACAGTAAGGTTCAAACAGACCTTGCAGTCCAATGCATTAACCCACAGAGCCATGCTGAGTGTTGTGTGAGCCAAAGTCTGTGTAAAAATGGAAAGGTCATTGGAGAAAGGGTGTGGGAGAGGCCTCTGCCTCACAATGAGGAGAGAGAGTCACCGTCATCAGCACCGGCTGCCCAGGCTGATTCCTAAGAGGCTAAGATCAGACCTGCTTCCACCCTCTAATTTTCTTTACCAATTCAGGCAACAATCATCCCTTCCCCCACAGCACTCTCTACTTCTCGGCTGGGTTCAATAATTCCTTCAATGGTCACACAGAATGCATAGACCATGCTCACAATTACAGGATTTACTAGGAAAGTTAATAGGTTATAATTCAGGTTCAGAAATGCTCAAGTTCCATTTCTTTGTTCAGGACAGGCTCTTCTCAGCCTTGCTCTCAGAGAGGCCTCTCCCTGACCCTTGGCCTTTGCCCTGCTCAGCGTTACAAAGCTGTTTTAGCACGGCTGATAAATGCCCAAAGAGCACTCCACTCCTGCTATACACCGCAGCTCCAGCCTGAAGGTGCTCAGTTCTTCAGTTCTGGTTCAGTGAGTCAGCAAACTTAGCTTCCCAATTCAGTGCAGAGGCACCCCACTTCACAAGTGAGCCTCCACCCTGGACCAGGGGCACCACTGCCCTGGCACAAACTCTGGCTATTGGTTCTGCTTCTGTGGCTTCTCTGAAGCTCCTCTGGTCACAGCTTTCTGTCTCTGGATTCGGGAGGTTCAATGGGGTCTTGGAGTCAAAATGACCCATTCAAGGCTCTTCTTTCTTGATGGTCGTGAAAGTCCCCCTTTTTTAAGAGGGCTCATTTTATTGGCAGGATGGTACAATGATCAAGCCCCATGTTGAGTTCCAGGTTTTTACAATTACAATTTGTTCTGTTAACAATCACTCACAACTGAATCATGCAATCCTTATCAGTATCTTCCCCTACCTTCTTTTACCCAGACCCATTAGGAAAAAGTTGTTTGGTAGGCATTACAAAGACAATGGAAACAAGTTGTTGTTAAGCACCATCGAGTCAGTTCCAACTCATAGCAACGCTGTATAGGGTTTCCAAGGAGTGGCTGGTGAGTTTGAACTGAGCCACCTAGTGGTTCAAACTGACCTTGAGGTCAGGTGCTTATCCTACGGCACCACACCAGGACTCCAGGGATCCTGTATAGGGATACATAAATCATTTACTGCATTGCAACTGTTAAGGCAAAATGTTGCAATGGTTACCACTAGGTTATTGATGTTTTCATACTAATAGGCTTGTTGATATTTGTATTTTCTTTTTGCCTATCTATGTTTTCTAAAGTTTCAACAATAAATATGGACGACTTTCATAATTGGAACATTTCCTTAGGAAGTTAGTCTGTGTGTTCTACAATTAGGGAATCAAGAACTTAAACAAGGGCAAGTAAGAAATCAGTTAGGCCATTGCAGATATTTAAATAAACACAAAGTCAGCCAAGGCCGCTTTCTGGGTCACTAATTGTCTACTGAGCAAATTCATTATGTCTGTGGGTGGTCAGGGCTAGGGAGTGCTTTGTAAACAGTGGAATTTTTTCTGGGGAGATATCCAGTAGAGATAGTGAGGCATCTCAGGTATTTGAGAGTTCATACTTGGGGGTGGAGGGCTCGAGGCCAGTCACCTGGAAAAGCACCTTACTCAAGCAGTACCTTGAAATTGGGTGAGTGGAGGGCCTTGAGGCTCAGGGGAGCCCAGCCAAGGTCTGGAGCAGAGGTGCAGGGTGGGATTAAGGCATGGGGGTGGGGGGGTAAGAAGGAGCAGAAGACAGGTTTTGATCGGTGATGACCCATGTTTATTTAGCAAGACCTGGCAAAGGGCAGAGACCAGTGCTCCCGTGGGAACAACACAGGCTCAGCACTCAGGACCTTGCCGCAGGCCTGTCCACACATGGGCTTTCTCTGCAGATTGCTGAAGTACAGGATCTCTGGCTCAGGCCAGCCTACTACATCTGAGTTTGCATTTATACAAGATTCCCACATTGCAGTGTGAGGAGAACTGACAGAGGAGAAAAACCTCCCAATACATGCTCCTTCACTCGTCCTGATCAGATGTATTTATCTTCAGACTCATTTAATCTAAAAAAATGTGGGTTTGAACCTCCAACCTTACAGTTAGCAGGCTAGTGCTTATCCTACAGTGCCACACCAGGACTTCTATACAAATATAAATAAATATATTTAAGTTATAAATCTCTAATTGGCCTTTTACACTTTCCTGGAGAAAAGCAAACTGTTTTTGGAAAAATCCTTTATAGTATTTTACAGAGGCAGCCTCTAAAAGGATGTGTTCAATAAGTGAATGAATGAATTCTAGCAGCCTGGATCTTATGTGCTGACCGTATCTGATTAGGGCTTGTTGCTGTTGTTATGTGCTGTCGAGTCATTTCTGACTCACAATGACCCTATGTAGGGTTTCCATGGAGCAGCTGGTGGGTTTGAACTGCCAGCCTTGGGTTCACAATGCAATGCTGATCCTAAAGTGCTACACAAGGAGTCCTTCTTCCAAGGGCATATCAAACTAAAAAGTTTTGTAAAATAATAGCATTTACTCATCTAGTTACACAGATAAGCAATTTTTACATCAGGCACATGAATAGAGTTTAGACATTTAGAGTTTCCATATTGGTAACTGCTAAATCACCAGAGACTTACTGGTTTCCAGTGTGTACTCTCTCTTTCCTAACAACCTGCTTCCCTTTCCTGGAGTGCTCTCCTTGTCCACTGGCTGTTCTGATTTGCTGCCTATCTTCCCCCCAGGAGAGGGTCAGTTGTACTAGTGATCATCCAATCTACTTCCAGACCTTCCCTGAGACAACTGTGTCCCCAGGAACCTGGCCAAGGGAACCTCCATGGAGTCAGAGGTAATAACTTGTCCAGAAAACGGAACGAGACAATGTCGTGGTCTATGAATTTCTGAAATGAACAGTGACAATTTTGTGACATCATGCAAAGGCAAAGGCATGCAAAGGAACATAACTTTTGGCTTTGAGTCAGAAAAATGCAGGTTCAAATCTCAGCTCTTCCCTTTCCTACCTAGGTGTGTAACCTTGGGCAAAAGCTTCTGGGCCTCATCTTCTTCATCTATGAAATGGGATCTGTGGATGCTCAATAAAATAGCTTCCTCTCCCACTACTTTCAAGATGCATAGCTTAAGGATCCAAAGGGAAGTAAAAAAATGACTAAAGTGTTAAAAAGATCTAAAGAAAATGAGTGACAAAATGATAAATGTTTAGTCGGGGGAAAAAGAACATTCACATTTAGTCTGCCCAGAGAAGACAGTATAGTAGAGTCCAGTCCAGTCTTCAGACTAGCCCTCTAAGGAAATTATGCTTTTAATCCTCGTAAGTGAGGAAACTGAGATTTTATAGCTTCCTAAAACATACAGCTAAATAGAGAAGCAAAGATTCCAACTCAGGCCTGATTCTACCCTAGCTCCAGTTGGGGCACTGGAGATGGCATTGGGGAGATGGGCCTAAAGAGGAACAGGAGGGAGACAAGGAAGATAGTTGTCAGCCACTAGCATCTAGAACAGGAAGAAGCCAGAGAAGACAACTGCAGAACCTCTTTCTTTGGCTGGAACTTGTCAGGAAGGGAATTTCCAGCCCTAGTTGTCCTTTGGCTTGCATGGGAGGCACGAGGTCTTCCACATTCCCTGGAGGGAAGTGGGCCTGTGAGCACCAGGCTGGGGTCTGGTCTTCTGGGACCACACAGGGAGGGCCTGAGCACAAATGGATCTATCCCTCTGTTTTTCTATACTTCCTATTATTATCTCATAAATTCTCTTATTCCCAAGAAAGAATTTATATAAAACTTAATAAAAATATTGAATGTTTGAATGAAGTTTTTTTAGCCTTAATTTCTGGACTGCTCAGTTTTCTTACCTCCAGAACCAGTTTGATAACTCCTATAATTCTGGGGAAATGCTCCCTGGTTGTTATCCTCTTAAAGACATCTCAGGTCTCACTTTCAAGCAAGCTCAGCTCTGATCTAGGAAAGTACCCAAAGCAGGTAGATACTGACTTCCTCCCATTCGGCTTCTACTCTGAGTAGAACCGAAAGCTTCAGCGTTCTAAATGGGAAGCTTCCTACCGCTCAGGTGCAGTAACTGAAACTCGATCGCATGCCATTTTCTTTCTGGAGATACAGCGTTCTTTCCCATTTCAACAATTCAGAGTCAACCAAATCAGAGTTTCTCATCCCACTCCCAGCTTTGTTTTCTTTTGCAGAGACATAGAAAAAGTCAGCTTATTGGGTTAAACCTGTGTTGTGGCTCTCACGGACAGGGACCTAACACTCTTCAGGTTGTAATCTTGATAAGTAAACTTTTTTGTTTACATAGGAGTCCAAAAGCTCACCAAAAAAATGCAACCAGATTTAAGTTTGACCAAGAACCTTATATTAGCCCATTTTTTCTAGTACCTGATTTTGAACCACTGGACTTAAACTGACTTCTAACACTACTATACCTTATAAATGAGCCTAAGCAGAATCGTCTAACCCTACAAACCTCGCTCCCAAAGATAATGTGGAAAAACACAAGCCACACTGAGGAAGGAAGGATTGGGGCGGGGGGTTGGTGTTGTCCAGTGAATATCTCTCTGTGTCAGAATGATGCCACTTCCTGCAGTTGCAGGCCTCCACGGTGGTCCACTCTAAGTAAATGAAGTCCTCTGCTGAAACTTGCACACAACAAGGAGGCTGTGTCGCCAACAGCAAGGGAAGTCAAGGGCCCTGATCCATCCAGAGACAAAGTGAAAAGACAGGCTAGGGAGGAAGGGAAAACCAGCAGGTTAGATCAAGAGCGCAATACCATGAAATTCAATGTCTTCCTGAGAAATTCCAGGAAGTAAAATAAGAGAGGCACTGAGCACTTCAGAGAAAAGCGCACCAGTGGGAAGTCAGAACTGGAGTCAATCCCAAAGCATCAAACAGGACATCCAACACCTTAGAAGGATGTTCAGACAACTGGGGACTCACCTACTAAAGCATTATTACAAAGTTGCTCTCAGCTACCTGCCTAGAGAACTAAGAAGGGAAGGAATTGAGAGAAACAGATAAAGATACTGATCATCAGCTGCTGGTTTCTTGGGGGTCTCGCTCCTTTTAGCACAAAAGATAATAGGGAACTGTGAAGAGCCATCTCTGAGGACTTCCAGAGACGTCACAGGTTATAGAGTAGACCTTCATTATGCTGCCGAGTCAGGTCAGCACTTTAGACCTTATTTTCTCTGGTCCCAGTTTCTGATTATTACTGCCCACATCTGTTACTCTGGGGCAACTGGAAAAGGCAATCCTAGATTACGGTACAGGGCTGGTCTGCCTTGTGGCATAGCTGTTTATAGAGTGCCACATGATCCCATGCTTTTTCTATCTTCCCCTGCTGGGAGCTGAGTTTCTGGAAGATTGTTGTTGTTAAGTGGCATCCAGTCGGTTTTGACTCATAGCAACCCAACTTAAGGTTTCTGAGGAGTGGTTGGTGAGTTTGAAGGTCCTGCATTTATCTTACAGTGCTATACCAGGACTCCTCTGGAAGACTGCTGTGGAGGAATATGGTTTCAAGTTCCCTGTTGTTGTTGTTGTTAAGTACCATCGAGTCGGTTCTGACCCATAGCGACCCTGTACAGGGTTTCCGAGGGTGTAAATCTTTATGGGAGTAGAAAGCCTCATCTTTCTTGGTGCAACTCTGTGACTAGGACAGAAGAGCATAACTAGCTTTCTAGAAGGAAAATAAACACTTGGATTTGTAGCATTTGCCAATGTTTATGACGTGAATACTTACACTATGACCAGATTTCAGGCTACTAACTATTTAAACAAGTATCTAGGTTATAAAATTTCTGAGTGTTTAGCAATTGGCTGAGAGGAGTCAGGCCCAGCACACTACTCTATCAGGTACTCTAGAGAGCTTTGTTCCATAAAACATCTTTTTTCTCTGGTGCTTTGAAGTGTCTTGGCCTTCCTGGGATCTTAGGCCTCAATTTCAGAGTAAAAATGGGAGGGAGTCTTTCTGAGACTATCCTTGCTCTACCTCACCCCACCGAGAACTCATATTTTAGTCCCTGAAAAATGATTCAGAAGTGGCAATTCATGACCCCTTTTCCAGATGTTTTAAGCACCACAAGTTGAAGCTGGGTGAGGAATTTTAAGGTGGAATTTTAATGTTTGAGCTCTCAGGAATGAGTGAGTCTACACAGCATGATGCCAGAAAAATTCACAGTGATGGCTTCTAGTCAGAGGCTGAACAGAGAGCTTCTAGCATCTTGGTGTATTCCCTCAACCACTAGGAGACTGGACGGTACAGCAAGACATGGATGGCTTTGCAAATGCTAAGCAATAGAAAGTTTTAAGGAATTCTTTAGGGCTTCACGTGTCTTCTGAATAGCACTGAGCACAGACAGACTCCTTACCTCCAGTATTTTGATTCCAAATCTTCACTTTGCAGTCATGTGATGAGGTAGCAATTACAGGTACCAAGGCCAATGCTCTTGGTAGAAAGACAGAGGACGCAACTGTCTGAAAATGTCCCATATATTCACATATTCTGTTACGTGTCTGTCTCAGGTCCCACAACTACAAAGAAACAGTTCAAAATTACATATTCTTCTAGCTTCATACAGGTTACATTTTCATCAATCTATATCTTTCCACCTTCCCATGGTTCACCATGTCCTCCACTTACCTATTCATTCTAGCCACCCCTTAATTTCATCTGTCCCATGCATAGACCCACTCATCCAGTGATTATAAAGCATCAACTGTGTCCCTAACAATCCTTGTCTTTGTTCTCCAGTGCTGCTAACACAGAAATACCACAAATGGATGGCTTTACCGACCAAAAGTTTGTTTTCTCACAGTTTAAGAGGCTAAGAGTTTGATTTCAAAGCATCGGCCCTGGAGAAAGGTCCTTGTCTCCTTTCAGTATTGGTAGGCATAGTATTTCTGGGAAATCTCCACACATCTTGGCATCAATCTTCCCGTGCATCTAGGAACTTCATAGTGTGGGGACCTCAGCTCCAAAAGACATACTCCACTCCTGGCTCTTCTCTCTTGGTAGAAGGTCCCTATTTGTCTCTCTCCTTTTACATCTTATGAAGATAAAAGGTGTTGCATACCACTCCCTTAGGAATCTCCTATTAATCTGATCAGGGTGGTGGTGGGATTAAGGGTGGGAGCCCTGGAGTGGGGCTGTAAGATCAGCACCAGACTGCTAACCACAAGGTGGGTGGTTCAAGCTCACCAACTGCTCGTTGGAAACCCTATAGAGGGGTCACTATGAGTAGGAACCAACTCGACAGCACCAAACAACAATCCTCTTATTGGCTTATCACATCACATCACACCATGGGGGACAGCTACATCTTAACTGCCAAGCTACTGAGAATCCTGGCCCAGTCAAGCTGATACATTGATCACAGCCCTGGTTAAGAATGTGACTGAAGAGTTGCTGTCTTCCTCATCATTAGGGAAGTGAAAGCTCAAGTATCACAGCATAATGGGAAGGTATCGGGCAGTCTGCTCTCCACTTCAGAGCTGTCTTGTAACTATGGCCCTGGACCACCCTCAGGTCTGGAAGGGAACTTATCCTTCTGGCCCAATTGTCAGTCAAGCAGTAGATGTAGATTGGTATACAGGGCAGACAACAACACAGGTAAGGTATGCTCACCATGGAATGATCAATCATTCAAAATCAAAAGGGCAGCATTTCCCTAAGAACAAAGTTGAGAAAGGATGGGAAGGTGGGTGGAATGGAAATGCAAACCACAGGGAGGAAGTGGGATAACTGTTATTGTGTGGAGGGGATTGTACTCATTAGGATGAAACAAAGTGTATGACTTGTTGACTATAAAACTGATGGTCCTGTCTGTAAACCTTCGCTCAATTCACAGTAAAAACTTGTTTTTTTTTTCAAAGAAACAGCTATCTTATGTCAGTTTCTTGGCATCTGGGGGGTCCTATGGAACCTAATAGTTTGGAGCACCTTCTCATAAGTACATTCAAGTGTAAACATTCTGATTTACTACCTGGATATTGAGCCTCAATACATGAAGACTAGGTCTACACTGTCTCACCAGTCCCACTGTAGGTAAATGCACTGGACTGCAAAGTTGACTTAAACCATAAGTTTTGCGGTTCAAGTTCACCAACTGCTCCTCGGAAACCCTATATGGGGCTATGTATGCAATGGCAGCACACAATAACAACAGTAGTTAGTTATGCTTTGGGCTGCTAACCGCAAGGTCATCAGTTCAAATCCTCCCGCTGCTCTGCTGGAGAAAGATGAGGCTTTCTGCTCTTGTAAAGATTTAAAGCCTAGAAAATCCTATACAGGGTCACTATGAGTCAAAACTGACTCAACAGCATACAACAATGTAACTATTCTAAGGAGCCCTTATGGCTCAAGGGGTAGTGCTGCACTGCTAACTACAAGATCAGCAGAAGAAAGACAGTTTCTGTTCCCATAAAGATTTACAGTCTTGGAAACCCTAAGGAGCAAGTCTACTCTCTCCTATAAGATCACTAGGAGTCAGAATCTATTCGATGGCAGTGAGTGTGGTTTGCTTTTATAACTATCCTGTTTGGATATGTAACTCATATTCTACAATTGGGAATCAAGGTGCTTTGAAGGTACCTAGGCAAACTATCTCTAAATTAAATGAAAAGAAAGTATGAGGTGGCTTCAGAAATTCATGGAAAAATGGAATTAAAAGATAAATGGAATGTTTCTATGAACTTTTCAAAGCTCCTTCATATACGGATAGGTATGGGGCTGACCCTGGACCATTGAGGCTCCAAAACTTCCTAAAGATCTTGGACTCCTTTCCAATGATCATATGTACAATGAGAATACATTTGGTTCTTCAAATACCTCCTTCTCTTTTTAGGCTCTACAGGAAGTGGGGCTGCAGCAAACCAGTTTTGTTTAGCTACTTCCGATCTGGACTCTCTTTTCTAGTACCAATTCAGAAAGGCCTAGGGCTTTGAACCCCAAGATCCACAGGAAAAAGATGAGGATTTCTGATCCAACTTAGATTTAAAAGCCTTTGACCCTACACTGGGTCCCTGTGAGTTGGAACCGACTTAAATGGCACTTAACAGCACAAGGCTAATAGTGGTTTCTCTAAAAAAAAAACAGCATCTGGGCCATAAAGAGCAACTTACAGTATGCACTTGGAATAGGCCTGAGGCATTAGCAGAACCTGCCCCAGCTATTGGCATGAGGCCAGACACCTGGATCCCACACAGTCTCTTACCGTGGCTTCACAGCCTTCCCCACCAAAGCCACTGCTGCAGGAGATAAACTGCTGTCCATCGTCACTGACCTCACAGTAGGTCTGAATGTGCTGTTTTGCAGGAAACAGATGAGCTACATGTAGCCCCCGGCTATCCCATAATCTGAAAGATATTATAGTAGGAAATGAGTATGGTGTAAACGTGGCTGAATAGACAATCCACTAACATAAATGTCTTGGCTCTTTGCTGCTTAGGTCAGTCAGAATGGAATGTCATGATTTACCTAAAAACAAAAAAAAATATGATCCAAATCAATAAGAGACCCCAAAGCTGACACAAAGTGATCCAAGTGAATGGCAACTGAGTTCTTTGTATTTTGAAATTAGCTAATAGAAATGTAGCCCGAGTATCTTAATTGTGTAAGTTCATTTGTTCATTTAGTCCTTTGAGGCACTGCATCCAACAGATAAAAATGATACTTCTTAAGATGCAAAGGAAAGAAGATGGCAGACAAGGCAGACGCACTACATGGACCCTCTATAACGAAGATGCCAGAGATCAAATGAAACAGACAACGATGAAAGTCCTGGGATCCTGAACGTCAGAGGAAAGTTTAGAGAAGTGGATTGGGTCTTGCTGAGAGAAGAAGATGAGCAGGGATGGCAGGAGAGAGACTGACTGGTGAATGGCCGGCCAGACGTGGAGCTATCATCTCGAACTTTCGTGAGCAGCTTTGGTGAAAGAAGGTGGCCTGGCAGAGCAGATTCACACAGGTGATTCCTTCTTTTTTTCCCCATGACCCCTGGTAACCAGCAAGGAGAAAGCAAAAAAGTTTAGAATTCAGGAAACACTACAGAAACAAAGACAAAAATAAATGCAAAAATTGAAACAATACAAAATCTGCAATTAGAAATCCAGATGATTAATACTAAGACTTCAGAAATGGACAATACATTGAAAGGGCAAAAGAGTAGATTCAAAGCAAAGAAAGGCCAAATTAGAGAGATTGAAGATAAATCTTTCAATACGAGTATACCAGAAGGACAATCAGAAAAACAATGAAACAATCTGAAGAAAGCCCAAGACTCCTGTGGGACACCATGAAGAGGAACAACTTGTGGGTGATCAGAAATTCCAGAACAGGAAGAGACAATAAAAAGCATCAAGAAAATTGTTGAAGTGTTGTTGGAAGAAAATTTCCCTAACAGCATGAAAGACAAGAAGATAAGTATACAAAAAGCTGAACAAACACCAAAAAGATATATTCTAAAAGAAAATCACTAAGACATATCATCATCAAACTTTCCAATACCAGACAAGGAAAAAAATTCTGAGAGCAGTTTGGGAAAAATGAAAAGTTAACTACAAGGGAGTGAACCAGTAAGACTGAACTCTGATTTCTCAGCAGAAATTATACAGGCAAGAAGGGAATGAAAGACATAAGCAAAACTCTGAAGAAAAAATGCTAGCCAAGAATCTGTCCCTCAAACATGATGGTGAACTTAAGACATTTCCAGATAAACAGACGTTAAAGGATTCTGTAATAAACTTTATGAAAAATTCTAAAGGGTGTTCTTTGGACTGAGAATCAACAACAGCAGACAAGAACATGAGCATAACATACATGACAACAACACTCAGAACTCAATCAGATACATTGTTATTAAGTGCCATTGAGTTGGTTCCAACTTACAGTGGCCCTGTATAAGGTTTCCAAGGAGTGGCTGGTGCGTTTGAACTGCAAACCTTGAGGTTAGCAATCCAGTATGTATCCTACAGCAGCACACTAGGACTCCTAATCTAGATATAGAAGTATCTGAAGTAAAGCAAACTAATATATAATGAAGTCAACTACAAAGCAAAAAGAGGTCAGAGTGTAGATACAGAACTTCCAAACAGCGAAGAAGTAGATTTCAAGATCAAACAGAGTGTTTTAAATGGGGGAAAAAATTAATAAATTACAGGCTAAACACAAAGAAAATGAATACACCTTCACATCAAAATAAATAAATGAAAATCAGAAAGGTTTAGTGAACATTAACACAACAGAAATGAAAATGAAAGGAAAACCCACTAAATGAACTCTGCACAGAAAATTCTGTGAAACAACCAAACCAGTGGATGAACCTGGAGGACATTATGTTGAGTGAAATTCATCAATCACAAAAGGACAAACATTGTATAAGACCACTGTTGTAAAAAGTTTAAGAAAAAATGTTTTCTTGATAAAATAAATATTCTATGATAATTATGGGTTGGGAGGGTAGACACATATTAACATGGGTGACAGGACAGGCAATAATCAACAAGAGAGGTTAGCAGGGGAAAGATGAAGGTAGTGGGAGACACAGGGAGGAATGCAGGAGTTAAAGTGAACAGAGATAAATACTGTTAACTGAGATGGTACATGGAGGGGATTGCAATCATTGTAATGAATCTAAAAATATGATTTGTTGAATGTAAAACTGATGATCTGCTCTGTAAACTTTCACTCAATTCATAATAAAAAGTTAAAAAAAAAA